AAAACCAATCCCAGCTCACGCCTGACTCACACGCTCCCTGGTTCTGGGGCAGCTACACGTGTTCACAGATTCGTTGGCAAGACCAAGCGGGACAGAAACGAGGAGCAATCAAAGTGTGTTTTAAATGTAATCCGTCTGGACTGGTTGAAACTGGCTTTAACACCGGCTCAGTAAAGGTCCCACATTTAGTTCAGGGTAGGTTAGATTCCTAGTGCTCGGTGGGGGGCTTGGCTATTGTGATGCTGACCCCTGTCCACAGAACTGGACTCAGACCCAGCAATTCGCTTCCCCCAGAGCACTGAGCAGCATCGCAATGTAAACAGCTCTCGGGCAAAGACTTCTGGGTGCACCTGTGAATGGCAGAGGGCCTGGGGCTCTACAGCCGATGGGACGATTGAACCACCTGCGCTAGATGCTGCATTGCATGAGCAGTGGGCAAATATTAGTCCATTAGAAGGCGGGTTGACATGCTGAGTTTTTCAGCCTGTCTAGTATATTCTGATATAACCGTAATAGTCAGGCTGGCAGGCTGATCTCAACACACCAGCATCCTTGCTGCTGAATCTGGGCATTCATTTGCAGAAACCTGGTATGGAAAGGAGTACAGTCCTCTAAGGCCGACTTGGGCGTCTTGTCCCAGCTTTGCTTTCGGCACCATTCGAGTGCCACTGAATGAGCTATTACTCCTCAGCAGTGCATTCTGGACTGGACGGGTTCTGCTTTAAATCCCGTCACACCCCCTCCAGGCTGCTGTGCTGCCACTTCTCAAGCACAGCAGGAGTCTCACCGTATCTTTTATCTGACAAAAACAGAAACTGTTTGCGGGGCAGTCAGAGAGCATGCTGGGAGCTTAGAAGAACAATAGCTTAATTGACACTGGTCCTACACTTGATAAGTAACTTCCTTCTTTGTTGTACTTTTATATCTCTCTCTCTATATATATACAGTGCTTTTTTTTTCTTTTTTTTTTATGACAGTAGCACCAGTGGGTTGTTTTTTTTTTCTTGACAATTTTTTTGCTGGACATCTGGCAACCTTAGTACCGGCACCCTTGTTCTTTTTTTCAGAAAAGCACTATATATATATATATATATATAGTACTAAGCAATTAAAACAGCATTAAAAGACATTAAAAGTCATCACAAGCATTAAAAGACATTAAAAGCAATAATTAAATGGAATACTTAATCTAAATCTAATTTTAAACCCAATTTAGCAGCCTAATTCTTAATCCAATTTAACACACACACACACACACACACACACCCTCTGGGGCTGACCAGACCCCAGGTAATGTTGGATAATTTGGTTGAGGTGGAAGTCCGATGAGCACATCACCCCAATATGCCAAATCAATGGACTCCAACTCGTGGGGCAAAATGATGTGGTAAATATCCCCTTGGCAGCAACCCTCTGAGACTTGATACTCTAAACAGTGGTGGGCACTCTGTGGGCAGCCCATCAGGGTCATCCACTGGAAGACCACGAAACATTTTGCTGACATTGACTATTCACAGGCATAACCCCCCTGCTCCTGCAGCTCCCACTGGCTGTGATTAGCTGTTACCAGCCAGTGGAAGCTGCAGAAAGCAGTGGTCCTGCTGGCCGCAGGTTGCCCACCACTGCTATACAGGTACTTCCTCTATTATTCCTTAGTAATAACTAGCTCTCGTCTAGCACCCATTATGCATAGATCTTAAAACACTTGACACGGTATCATTATTGCCATTTCACAGACAGGAAAACTGAGGCATGAGGTGGGGAAATGTCTTGTTCCAAGTCACCCAGGAAAGTGTCACCAAGGAGCAGAATCCAGCTCTCGAACTCTGTCCAGGCAGCCACCCGATGGAGACAACAACCTAAGCAAGTTCTCTTGTGTCTATTTGTGAGCACAGATGTGAAACCCAAGGGCCAATGAGTCAGTGGTGGCCCTCCACTGACTTGGTGTGTGAAGCTGCTGGAAGGAGGATTCTGTATTTGACGGGGGGACAAGGAAACATTCTTGTGACAGATGCTTGATTTAAATGCTGATGCCAGAAAGCTACCAAGAGGCTTGGGCATGTTAGAAAAAAACTCATCAGTGGCTTCCTGGGCAGTAGGGGGAGAAAAGGCAGGCATGTCCCACAGAGGACGTGAAGGTGTGATGTGGACAGGATGGGGTGCTGGGGAAGCCAGGGGGTTAGTTATGCGGCTGTCCTCAACTAATGCTGATAGCAATAACGTCACTGCTCCTAGGCCCATTTCTTGTATCCCTCGGCCGTAAGGCCTGTGAACCTTAGTTATCAGGAGTCCAAAAGAGTAGCAGGGCTCAGGAGCAGAGACACAAACCAGCCGCTCTATACACCTCCGCCACGGGCGGCTGGTAATGGAGGCAAGGGAAGGTACAGCCTTCCCAGAACTGCCTACGCACCCTGGCTACCCAGAAAGTTGGGCCCACGATGTGGCAACCCATCTTCCCCAGCCGCCGGGCAGAGCTGGCGCCAAGGCCGCTGAACAGCAACCCCGGCGCTCCAGGTGGCCAGGAAGGATTGGACTGGGGGTGGGCGGGGCTTGGCTCCAGGGGCGGGCCTCAGGCGGAAGGGGCAGGACTGACCTGCCCTCCACCGCCGGGGCCTCACC